TCTCAAGGTAGCTGCCATGGTTACTTCCCTGGGGTTGGCGAGGATGGTAGCGATACTCAGTGTCGGCCAACTGATCACTGTAGCGATCGCGGAGCTCTCCTATGGCGATCCTTGCCACCTCCTGACATGCATGGATGTAGTTTCCTTCTCCAGCTTCGAACATCACTGATGGGATATCTTCACTATTACTGTTCAAGGTGACTTTGACTCGGCACTTCTCTTCGTGACGATCATGAGGAATCTGGGCATACAAAGGGGCAGTCCCAAATCCTATGGCAAAGGACATCGTACGCAACTCCTGGACAAATCCCTCAACACCAAACAAGTATTTAGGCTTGTAGCGCGGCATCTAAAGACAAGTGAAAGGAGGGAGTTAAGACATTTATCCAATTAATAGCACAAGTTTTTGGATTAATTTGAATAAAGTTAGAAAATCAAAGTAAAAGGTAAGCAAATAAAGTAAACCAAGCTTGCAAGATAAGTTGAAACAGTTGGAAACAAGGTCACAAATTTTGTACTTTTGAACAACAGGTTCCAAAAGAAATAAAAGAAAGTTATAAAATCAACATGCTAAATTTATTTCATTGCAGCAAAATAAAACAATGTTGTAAAACATTTGCTGGTAAATGAGCCATTAGTACAGTATTAGATGTACAGTACTAACAACACTGGAATAAATTTTGAATGAGAACCACTAAAAGAGATTATGAAGTGCATGTGCTATTAGTTTGGTTTAATTAAAAGAGAAAGGGAGGAGAACAGTTCTACTTTTCCAATATTTTTAGAGGGCTTCTATGGGTAACCATTTGGCATAACCTAGGGTCAAGGAGGCTCTGATACCAACTTGTCACGCCCGGAATTTCTATCCAAAATTCCAAACGCTTACATGTGTGTGAACCCTCGTCCAGGAATCAGCCGAGGCACACAATAACAAATTGATAATAGAGTACAATTATTACTCTAATTAATAAGCGAATAAAATGTCATTACAGAGGTAGATAGTTCCTCTCAATCAATAAAGATCTAAGCAGCGGAAAAAAATAAGATAAATGGCGCAGACGACTCCACTCCATAGGCAGCTTGACCAGGGCTACACCTAATCCTCCACACCATCAGCATCACTGTAGAACTCTTCCTCTGATGAATGATTGCAAGGTGAGTATATGACATACTCAGCAAGCCACGCAGCAAATATGCAAGTGCACAAGGATATCAAAGAATGGCATAATATAGGGCTCATTTGCAAAAGCAGCATTTAGCAAACATTTGAGGATTATAAAACATTAGAGTAATTAATCATCAATTTTAATCAACACTAAACAGCACACCCATGCTGCTCAGGCCCAACCATCCCGAACAACCATACCCGGCTGTACGGATCTATCTCCAAACCAGGAATATACCATTCCAAACCAGGAGCTAATCAAATTATTACCAGTTATAACATCTTTTATTATGATGAGAAGTGTGAAACTAATCACGAAAGACATTGTTAGACCCGCCCATAACCACGGGCATGGCTATTCGAATAGTTTTACTCTGGCCAGAGGTGTACCACTGTACCCACAAGACACAGCCCCACAACATGTCGACATGTGCCTCAATACCACCACGGTACCTCGGAAAGGAGCTGTGACAGTACCCCTCGCACAACACAATCCACCACAGCGCACCTTTCCTGGATCATAATCACCCCCTTATAAACAAGGCATGGACTCCCCAGTGACCCCCGTGGGCTTATCTCCGCCACTTCTCAGTCTGGTGCTCCGTAATGAACCATGCTATACAAAAGGTAAAGCCGTTGCCCACGCTGGCTTGTGGTTGGCACGGTTAATGTTTCACAACCGAAACTCGTGAACCGGTCCTTAATTGTCATGAGCACGACTCTCAAAACCATGTGCTCACAACCCACCATTATCAAGTTTTAGTTGGCAAGTAATTAATTAACCAATCACGATGGACCATCGTGAACTATCATTAAGCCAACATTAAATAATAGTAAGTCATAAGTTATCCCAATAATGTGCTAATGTTTCTAAGCATGGCTAAGCAATCATATCTAATATCTAGCTGAACCAATATAAATAGCCCAACTAGTCAAGTTATAATAACCCAAGGTATCAAGGAATAAAGTAATCAAGAACAAAAGGGCTATAACAAACAATAGGTTAATTCGACCCAATGACATTCGAAAATAAATGCAATAGTTGAATAGAAACAATAGCTTTAAATGGGATCAATATGCTCAAAGGGTTGTTTGGGATCTGTGTGACTTGCCTTGCTGGCCTTGGAACTCTTCAAATTCTTCTCCTGTAAAAACGGACTCTCCGGAAACGTCGGAATCTAAATAGAAAGGAGCAAAATCACCAAAACAGCACATAAACAAGCATGAACAGTACATGTGGATATTTTTAACATGTAGATCTCAATTTTAGAAAAATTTAGAGACTTGAACCAACTAAATCTGAGCTAAGATGAATTAGTTATGAATTTTCAAAGATTAAATCGGATTAAATCATTTATTTAGATTTTAATTGAATTATGACGCAATAATGAATTATTTTTGAAAAGGAAAAGGTAATTATTGCGTCAGCGGCTAGGGTTCGCGGTGAACCGGGTGCACGGCGGCGGCTCACGAAAACGAACGACCGAGATCTTTCCATCCAAAACGAACGGCCGAGATCGACCGGTCCACGGCCGGACCACGGGAGACGATGACGATGACGTCAGCGGTGACGTCACCACCGGCGGCGGCTCGGGCGTGCATGCTCGCCGGCGAACGACGGCACGACAGCGCGAACGGAGAGCACCTACGGGTAGCGGACGGCACGGCAAACTCACCGGTGACCAAAGCGGCGGCGGAAGATCAACGGACGGCGACAGCGATGAGGAAGAAGCGGCGGCAACCTTCGGCTTGACGACGACGGCGGTGCTCCGATGGTCTACAGCAGCGATGGAGGGGCGGACGAGGACGGCGACGCGACGGCGACCACGACGGTGACTTTCCCGAGCGACGACGACAACGGGATCGGCGGCGGCGCATGGCTGGACGAACGGCGACGACGGCGGCGCTAGGCTACACGGGGCTAGGGCGCTACGGGCGGCGAGAGGCGAAGGCGGGGGTGGCGGCAGGTAGCGGCGGGCTTGGGGGTCCTTTTATAGGGGCAAGGAGGCGGCGGCGAAGGCCCACGGCGACCTGCGACGCGAAGGAATGTTTAGGGTTCGGAGGAGAGAGATCGATCCGAATCGAACTCGAATCCACGGATTTCCAAACGATTTAGCCGACGATTCCAAAAGAGAAAAGGTAGAGGAGATCTCGGGAAACATTTCCCCTCAATTGATTACACCGGAGAAGGAAAGGCGCGAGCGAATTTGGAAGGAGACGGCGGCGCGGCTCGGCTAGGGTTCCGGCCGGGCGACGGCGCGAGGAGGACGACGAGTCCGACAGGTGGGACCCACCTGTCAGCGGCCGAGGGCGCTCGCACGGGCAGCTGCGGGCTGACTGGGCCGACTGGGCCGACGGAGAGAGAGAGAGAAGGTTTTGGGCCGACTTTCGGCCCAAAGCCAAAAGAGGATTTTAAAAACCTTTTTCAATTTAAATTATTCAGGAAATGCAATTCCATTTATTAAAAATACTTCCTTAGCTCAAATAAATCCCAGAAAAATCTAGGAATTATAGAATTAAGCAAAGTATTTAATGAAATTTTATCTGGCCCCATTTTATATTGGAATTTATTATTTAAAATTAGATCTTCTTTTCTAGACTTTTAAAATAAATTCTAATAATTCCAATTAAACAACAATTTATATATTTAGGATTTTTAGGGTGTGACATATATCGACATAGAGATTATATATTATCAATATCTACAGCCGATTGAGTAGATTTAGTCCCTTCTTACTTATTTATATATGCCAATCGATTCAAACATGACATCGGCTAAAAGATAAATGATATGTCATCGGCAACTAGCCGATCGGCTATCATTTATGGATTTAACAATGGTTTCGTTGTCTTTATTTCTTGTTGATTGCAGGATCAAATCAACTGGCACTCTTACGAACCTAAAGGCAAGCTTTTGGACCTGCACTGGAGCTAAGCAGATCTCCCAGCCCTCGTGTTTTTACATCAACACTCTTTTGGCATGCCCAGTGGGACCGAGTTGCAACAACGTTCTCTCACGGAGGTCCCTCCCAAGACTAATAGCCCAAAGCCTAGTGGGTTTGAAGTTCATGAGGGAAACATTGTTCCCGTCACTACAGACAAATTAACACCGGAACAAAAGAAGGAGCTCGATCTGATGATGCAGCAAACACAACACCAGTTCTTGAATTCTTTCATGGAGACCCGTAAGGGAACAGTTGTTCAGAAGTATAAGGTAAAATTAGTTGCTGATGTTCCTGGAACAGGTTCTTCTAAGGATCGATGGAGAATTACAACAAGTTCCGGCTGCTACAGCTGAATCAGGTAGTAAAGGCATTCTAGAGGGCTCGGGAGATAAAGGTGACAGTTTTCAGGGGGTACAAGTTGAAGATCTTGGACCAGATGGCAATGTAGTACAACCACAGTTTAACAACTTCCAAGATCGGATTGACTACGCCGTGCAACATACTTTGATTAATCAATCTGGAGTGCTAGTCAATACCTTGTCAAACATGGTGAATTCATTGTGTAGTAGTAGTACTAATAATAATAATAATAATAATTATTATTATTATTATTATTATTATTATTATTATTTTGTGAACTTAAAAGTGTGAGAAAGATAGAGATAGAAAGAGAGTGGGGAGGGTTGTATATTTTAATGATCAAAGGGGATAGGATAAACATGTACCAGTGGATAGGATCGTAGGGACCAGTTAAAAAAAATGAGCAGATAAATGTCTAGGAGATGAAAGCTATCCATCACTCTCCTATCTGGGTAGGTGTCTCCTTAGACTTGAAGGAAGCTGCTGCTATAAAAGCCTCCCAAAGCCTAGGAATACTACTTGCACCATAGAAGCCAGCGTGAGCACAGGGCTGCACAGAGCAAGCAGGTAAGTGTATGGTTACATTTTAATAGTTTTCAGACCTAGCAAGAAGTAAGCTAGCTATATTAGCAAAATTTTCTTGTGGTACTAGTAGGCTGCTACACTTACCATATTTTTAGGGTGCTTTTCATGATCCTGTGTACTAAACAGGGGCAGAACCACCCATTAGGCGGGGTTGGGCGACCGGCCCAGCTATGGCCCACGTCGCCCCACCCCCCCTTGGGCCTCCAGATACCCAAAAACCGATCAGGCGCAGGTGCACCGAAGAAATCAACCAATCACGGAAATAGCGATGCATCGTATTCCAATCGGCGACCTGTTCATCTTCATTCTTTCTTTGCTAGTTCATGCCGCATCGCCACAAAGTCGTCATCGTCCCGTGCGTGCCGCCGCCGCCCTGTTTGCCTTAGCCCACCAGCCGCGCTTCCCATCCGGCCAGGCCAGCCCATTGTGGCGGCGTGCCTCCAGCCAGCCTGGAGCCGGAGGGAACCGGCTGGCGGGCAGCATGGAGCCTCTGCTAGCCACCACGCTGCACGCTGCAACCACCAACAAAGGAGGAGGAAGAACTGTTCCCCGCTTGCTGTTGCTGCTACGTTGCTTGGCGTCTTGGCCGCTAATGCACGTCTGTTTCTGATCTGTAGCAAGGAAGACAAGAGGAGAATAGAAGACAACTGTCAGGACATTTTTTATCGGTTCCAAAGAAGAGTAGGGAAGAAAAGGTGGAAATTCGTCTCGAATTGATGTTCCTTGTTGCAAGGGTAATTCAAAAGTAGTCCCTAATTAAATTGTTCTCAAAAACACAAAAGTTGTAGATAATTTTCTGTAGATATATAATATATTCTTTTATTTCTATTTTTATTCAATGTTTTAAATATTATAGTTGCAACTGTGAGGACAGTTTTTATCTAGCTTACAAAATATCAAGATTTGGAATTCTGGAATAAATATTGAGCAACTAGCATTGGTACCCATATCTAGCCACACGGTTGTTTGTAATTAGATTTTGAGGGTTATCTTACTCTTAGGTCTAGAGGGTTATGGGCACCACTAATGTGACACTAGTTTAACGACGATGCTAAAACAACCACATGACAAACTCGCTTAATTGATGCGTGGTCACTACTCATGTCATTTATGCCTTACTTGTTAATTGTAGAATTATATTATTTTTTTTACAATTGCATCATAATATAGTATGTGTTGCGTTCATATGTCTTTATCGTGTTAGTATTTTTCGCCCCATCTGTATTTTAGTCCTGGTTCCGCCAGTACTACTAAATGGAGCAGGAGGTAGATATATTAGTGTGAAAGGTTAATACTTGTTGTGGCTAGTACAGAGACTAGAAGTTACTAGCAAGCAGCTGTACTATATGCTATATGCGTGCATGCATGCAGTACTGCCCACTCGAATAGATGCATGCAAGCACCTACACACTACTCCATGTTGGTTTTCTTTCTCTAGTATAGTCACATCAACCAGCTATCTATGGTGCTAGTAGCTGATGTCAGTAGCTAATGTCCTGCATGACAAATATAGATATAAATTAATACCGAAGACCTGTATATTTGATTAGGTGGGACGCAGAGGAAGAACAACAGAAGACAAGGCAAGACTACGCCCGTCAACTATTTTACTTAATCACCTCTAACTGAATTTGTTTACCTACATTATATTGAGATGGTGTACTAATAATCTAACAATAAACATTATTAACACTCGAATAATGGATTGATGATTTTATCAGTGAGAATAATAACGTGATTATGATACTTAGCCTGAGACGGCCGATACCTGAAATCCGATACCTGAAATAACGATATCGGGTCAGCTGATATCAGTGTGAGATGATGAATGCCTCACACAAGTAGGGAATCCGGCGGCGTGATTCTCAGATGAGGGTATCACTAATTGGGGAAAAAATGGATTGAAGGAACGAGATTATGACGATTATTTTAATACCTCTCCAGTGTATTCTTAACTCATTTACTATGTTTAATGTCCTTTATTATTTATTGGCTGTTAATATCTATGGGTAGTAGTATTTTTCTTCTGTCTTTAAAAACATATATATATTGCTATATGTACTAATCTTGCTGAGTATGTATAACATACTCATATATTATTATTACTATTTGATGTGCGCAGAAACTAGTCAAGATGAGATGTCAGAGGGGAATGATGACATGCAGAACTAGTGGGGAGTGTGGTCTACTTAGTCTTTAGAGATATCCAGAGGACATACTTGCATGCTAGGTATAGGGTTTCGTCCTGGTGACAATAAGTTGGTCAGTGAACCAACCGATGTAATATGCAGTAAAGCTGGTGGAAAAAAAGTAATAATAATAAACGGAACCACTGTTGTAGATGTCCAAGCTTCAGTTGTGATGGTTAGACATTGCATCTTGCCTTGCATCCTTATGGACATATATAAATATTAGTATATATGCGTATAAGGATATGACAGACTGTCACGGAATATATATATATATATATATATATATATATATATATATATATTTATTTATTTATTTGGGGTCGTGACACATTGGTTGATGGTTCAATGGCTGAGTATCAGGTTACAGGACCAGTATATTTACCAAGGGGTGTTTTCCCAAATTATCGGCCCCTGATCACAAATAATCAGCCGAATGTTTCCAGTGTACCACCAGCTTAGCCGACAGCACCAGTATCAGCTCCTGCACCTGCTGCACCATCATCGGCATCAAGGCAACTGACCAATCCTCGCTTGTTGACTAGAGAGCAACCACAACATGCTGGACAAAATGTCAATGATGACTCAGGAACAGGTTGCTATGATGATGATGATGACTCCGAAGTAGCAGCAGCCGAATGGGTTAGGAGCAAAAAGGTTGTGCCATGCCCATGGGTGAAGAGTTCTGGAAAAAAAGAAAGGTTTGATTTTGATATCACCAAAGCTGACAAGATCTTCGATTTGTTACTTCGGGAGAAGCAAATTCAACTTCCTGCTGGTCATATTATACCATCGGCTGAGGAACTAGGCAAAAGGAGGTATTGCAAATGGCATAACTCTGGTTCTCATTCTACTAATGACTGCAAAGTTTTTAGACAGCAAATCCAGGTGGCCATTGAAGGTGGAAAGATTAAATTTGATGACTCAAAGAAGCCGATGAAGGTCGATGGTAACCCTTTCCTGGTCAATATGGTACATACAGCAGGTAGAACAGCCGATGGAAGCAGGACTAAAAGTTTTTAGATGAATTCGGCTAGAATTATTAACAAGTATTAGAGGAAATATGACAAGCAGCAACAAGGGAGGTATTATGAAGAAGATGATGGAGGTTTTGATCCTCATTAGGACTGTGAGTTTTTCAGATTTTGCTGGAAAGAAGGTATGAGGCTGCCATCTATCGAAGATTGTCCTGAATGCAGTGACATTGCAGAATGTTCAAGCCGATCTCACAATAGAAGCAATCGGTTGAGGCAGACAAGAGTTCCTATTCATCAAAGATTGGACCCAGTAAATCAAGATCATGATCAAGATGTTGAGGAGGGCAGAAAAACTCAATGGTGTCCTTCTGGTATTTTTACAAAGAATCAGAAGAGAATGGTTCAAAGATTGAGGAACAGAGAACGTTTTCGTGAAGTGGAGCAAGAGATTAATCATCGGCTGAAGAAGACAAAGCCGAGGCAAGAGTGGCGTGTCAATTACCAAGCTGCTATAGCCGATGATGCCAAAGCCGATGAAGCAAAAAATGTTGGCTAAGGGGAAGAGTGTTGTGACCGCATTGGTTAACATGGTTTTCATGTTGCCTGCGGAATTCAGAGCTAAACAAGCTGATGTTGATGAAGTTGAGGAAGCTTCGGCTAGGTTGGTTTTGTCACCAGAGCAAGCGGTTTTTGAGAAGCTAGAAGGGACAGAGAATCGGCATCTTAAGCCATTGTACATTAACGGCTATGTCAATGGGAAGCCGATGTCCAAGATGATGGTTGATGGTGGGGCTGCCGTGAATTTGATGCCATATGCTATATTCAGAAAGCTGGGTAGAAATACTGAAGATCTCATCAAGACAAACATGGTTCTCAAAGATTTTGGTGGCAATTCATCGGAAACAAAAGGAGTTTTAAATGTGGAGCTGACAGTCGGTAGTAAAACCGTCCCTACAACATTCTTTCTCATCGGTGGAAAGGGTTCCTATAGCTTGTTGCTTGGAAGAGATTGATTTCATGCCAACTGTTGTATTCCGCTGACCATGCATCAATGCTTGATTCAATGGCAAGGCGACAAGATTGAAATTGTGCCAGCCGACAGGTCAGATAACGTTGCCAGTGCCGATTTAGCTCTTTGGGAGATGGACAGTATTGATTGCTTGTCTGGAAAAGTTTGGGATGGAGATTTTCTAAAAGTGTTCGATTATGATATACAGCCGATTGAAGATGGAGAGCCAAATTATTATTTTGAGGGCGTCGTGGAGGGTTCAAACATTTACACCAACAACACAGTAGATGATCTCGATGACAAGCAGGGACAGGGGTTCATGTCGGCCGATGATTTGGAGGAAGTTGATATAGGTCCGAGTGATAGACCAAGGCCGACATTTATCAGTAAGAATTTATCTCCAGAATTTAGAACCAAGTTGATAGAGCTTTTAAAAGAATATAGAGATTGCTTTCCTTGGGAGTATTATGAGATGCCAGGACTCAGCCGATCGATTGTTGAACATCGGCTACCTATCAAACCGGGGGTTAGACCATACCAGCAGCCGCCGAGAAGATGCAAAGCCGATATGATCGAACCCGTTAAGGCTGAGGTTAAACATTTGTATGATGCTGGTTTTATTCGTCCTTGCCGATATGCTGAGTGGGTTTCCAACATAGTTCCAATTATCAAGAAAAATGGCAAAGTTAGGGTGTGCATTGATTTTCGAGACTTAAACAAGGCTACACCAAAGGATGAGTACCCAATGCCAGTTGCCGATCAATTGGTTGATGCTGCTTCAGGGCATAAGATATTGAGTTTTGTGGATGGTAATGCTGGTTCTAATCAGATCTTTATGACAGAAGAAGACATTCATAAGACCGCTTTTAGATGTCTTGGTGCAATCAGCTTGTTTGAGTGGGTTGTGATGACTTTCAGCTTGAAAAGCGCTGGAGCTACATATCAACGGGCTATGAACTACATATATCATGATCTAATCGGCTGGCTGGTTGAAGTCTATATTGATGATGTAGTTGTTAAGTCAAAGGAAATAGAGGACCACATAGCCAATTTGAGGAAGGTTTTTGAGAGAACTAGGAAGTATGGCCTGAAGATGAATCCGACAAAGTGTGCTTTTGGCGTATCGGCTAGCCAATTTTTAGGATTTCTTGTTCATGAAAGGGGGATTGAGATAACTCAGAGGAGTGTTAATGCGATCAGAAAGATTCAACCTCCGGAGGACAAGACAGAATTGCAGGAGATGATCGGCAAGATAAATTTTGTTAGAAGGTTTATCTCTAATTTGTCTGGAGGATTAGAACCTTTTTCACCGCTGTTGAGATTGAAAGCCGATCAGAAATTTACTTGGGGGGCAGAATAGCAGAAGGCCTTGGATAATATTAAAGAATATCTTAGCTCTCCTCCAGTTTTGATTCCTCCACAAAAAGGGATACCTTTTAGGTTATATCTATTGGCCGGTGAGAAGTCAATCGGCTTGGTCTTGATTCAGGAGCTCGAGGGAAAAGAAAGAGTTGTGTTCTATTTGAGTCGTCGGCTTTTGGATGCAGAGACAAGGTATTCTCCTGAGGAAAAGTTGTGTTTGTGCTTTTATTTTTCTTGTACAAGGTTAAGGCATTATCTATTATCCAATGAATGCACTGTAATATGCAAAGCCGATGTGGTCAAGTACATGTTATCAGCTCCGATTTTGAAAGGAAGGATTGGAAAGTGGATATTTACTTTGACAGAATTTGATCTTCGGTATGAGTCACCGAAGGCGATTAAGGGGCAAGCTATAGCCGATTTTATTGTTGATCATCGTGATGACTCAATCGGCTCGGTTGAGATTGTGCCCTGGACTTTGTTTTTTGATGGGTCAGTATGCACTCATGGTTGTGGTATCGGCCTGGTTATAATTTCTCCTCGGGGGACAAGTTTTGAGTTTGCATATACTATCAAGCCCTATGCAACTAATAATCAGGCTGAGTATGAAGCGGTTCTCAAAGGGTTGCAATTACTTAAGGAAGTTGAAGCCGATGTTGTTGGGATTATGGGTGATTCATTGCCGGTGATTAGTCAATTGGCAGGGGAATATGAGTGCAAGAATGATACATTGATGGTTTATAATTAGAAGTGCCGGGAGTTGATGAAAAGATTTTGGTTGGTAACTTTTAAGCATGTATCTCGAGAGCAAAATATTGATGCTAATGACTTGGCTCAAGGGGCATCGGGTTACAAGCCGCTGATGAAGGATGTCACAATAGAAATTGCCACGATAACAGTCGATGATTGGAGGTGCGATGTGCATCATTATTTGCAGAATCCAACTCAATTGGCTTCTCGGAAGTTGCGCTATAAGGCTTTGAAGTATACCTTGTTGGATGATGAGCTATATTATCGGAAAATTGATGGGGTGTTGCTTAAATGTTTAAGTGTTGATCAAGCTAAGGTTGCAATAGGCGAGGTACATGAAGGAATTTGTGGAACTCACCAATCGGCTCATAAGATGAAGTGGTTGCTTCGGCGGGCAGGATATTTTTGGCCGACAATGTTGGAAGATTGTTTCAAATATTACAAAGGATGTCAATATTGTCAAAAGTTTGGAGCAATTCAAAGAGCACCCGCATCGGCTATGAATCCTATCATCAAGTCGAGGTCATTTAGAGGTTGGGGAATTGATATGATCGGTATGATTAATCCACCATCGACAAAAGGACATAAGTTTATATTGGTGACAACCGATTATTTTACCAAGTGGGTAGAAGCGATTCCTTTGAAGAAAGTTGATTCTGTGCATGCTATTCGATTTGTTCAAGAGCATATTATTTATCGCTTTGGTATTCCTCAAACCATTACAACCGATCAAGGCTCGATCTTTGTGTTCGATGAGTTTGTTCAGTTTGCCGATAGCATGGGTATCAAATTGTTGAATTCTTCACCATATTATGCACAAGCTAATGGGCAAGCCGAGGCGTCTAACAAGAGTTTGATCAAATTTATTAAGAGAAAGATTTCTGATTATCCTCGGCAATGGCATACTAGATTGGTCGAAGCATTGTGGTCCTATCAGATGGCTTGTCATGGTTCGATTCAAGTTCCTCCTTATAAACTTGTTTATGGACATGAGGCAGTTTTACCATGGGAAGTTCAAATTGGCTCAAGGAGGATAGAGTTACAAAATGAGTTAA